AGCCGCTGTATTTTAATCCTATGCACTATTTCGTTGTAAAGCTCAAACAGCTCATCGTGTAAATGCCCGTAAATCTCCCCCAAAATCTTTCTCTCGAATACTCCAAGAGAGATGTTGTCATTGGCCGTGCACTGGCGCCAAATTCGAGCACGGGCATGGTGAGTGACTTATAGAGTGTGGTTTTCGTACTTCGAGAGAGGACTTTAATTCTGAATTGCCTACTCAGTTCAAAGTACGACTTGTTGGCAAGAGTGATTCTGCGTTGGGGTATAGTTCGCGGTTCTGTGTATGCAGCTACAGTTTCACGACTCGCTATATAAACGTGTATTCGGTTAAGAAATCACCCCCTCCCAACGATGGTTTGTGCACTGGGTTTGGGACCAGCCACGTAAAATCAACTTCCAGTGAAAACAAAGCCTCGGATGACCCCGCCCCTTTTGCTGACAACCACGGAAAACGTTTCAAATACTACGATTTGAGGGCATTCACCTGAAATATCCGGACCCTTAATGAGGAAAGTGCCTCTGCGTGGCTGGTTGATACCATCATAAGGACAAAGCTGACATCACCACCATCCCAGAAATGCGTTGGACGGGGCAAGACAAGCTATGTCTGGGGCCTTGTGACGTCCAATACAGCTGCCATGTAATGGTGCGTAAATTCGGTGTTAGATTTGTGGTGGGAGAGAGGCTCAGTCGCCGAGTACTATCGTTTACCCTGACAACGGGCTGATACTGATCGACTTCGGCGGTGCTCGAAGCATGCTAGTATACAGTACTAGGTCCATCCATAAAAAGATACATCGAAAAACGACAACAACAAGAAAATGAAACAATCGTAACTTCGATCAGTGTTTATGTAATAACTCACAGTGAAATGTATTAATTGATTTAAACAGCTACAAATCCCAGTTTTTTCTGTTCTTTTGAGAAGGCTTTGAAATTTTCGGAAGGTATGGAAGTGGCGATAATTGTTAAATATTTATAAGCATAATAAAGTAGTATAAAGTGTCCCAGCTAGCAATGACATTATATTTCGGTACACTTATTTGGCAATTTATTACCATAATTTGTTCCTTCATTTGACTTTTATGTTAACTCATTTGAGAGAGAAATTATGAAGTTTTTTGATTTGAGTAAAAAATAAAAAAAAAATACATACCAATAAATTCTTGTCGCTTGTGCAAAAGTACACACAATGAGGATCTAAGCCGAAATCAGGCAAAAAAAAACAAGGATTAATGCCAGAAACTCAAATTTTGCTTTGAAATAAGCGTACATCAAACTGGCTACATACTTTTTTATTATTTCTCTATGTTGATAAGCTATGTGAAAAAATTTTGGAATATGCTGTTTAAAATCTGTCTAAATTTCCAAATGGCTTTAGAGTGTCAATATCATATCAATTAATATTATTAAATGTTTCTACTAATAAATTAGCAATTTTTTAATGCAATAACATTTTGGATAATACTAATATAATGTATATTCTAATAGTGCATAAATAGTGAAAAATCCACGTCTAGAATAGTTACTGGAGCGAAGAGTTGGGGTTCATCAACGGAATGCAGGACGTGTATACCAAGCGAGAGACGTACGCGAATCCAAAGCCAACATTTGCTGAAACTGTCTCGTACGCTCAGACACGTGAAACGGCAGCACTCCTAAGTAGACCAGCCTACACAGCCCATCGAGTGGAAGTGGAGGAAATGCTGAAGAAGCTAATCCGACTGCTGGGCAAGAAAAAGTATGGATCTGGCAAATGTTTAAATGTGGAAAGCCAGGCAACTTCGCCCGCGATTGCAGCGCAAGTTCCAGTGCGCTCAACAGTCCAGCAGTACGTAAAAGCAGGGCTGGGAAAGACGAATCTAACTCCAGTCAGTCGTTAAACTAAAATGAGCCTGCAGGAAGGGCCGCGTGCTGGCTCTAGAAGTTGAAGGGCCCATAATCTCCGTCTCACAAATTGGCCGGAATGCGAGCAACCTCACTATTGGTGGATGTGTGAATGGGCAGGAGCGAGTGCAGACAGTGGATACTGGAGCGTCACATTCCATTATTGGACTTGATATGGCTACTTTTTATGTGAAGCCACTACCTGGAGCAAAGCTGCAGACTGCAACTGTGAGCGAACCCAAGTGTTAGTACTATGCGAGGTAATAACCGACGGGTTGGCCTCGTACACGAAGTTTATAGTTGCATACATTGTGGATGAAGTCATCACCGGCGTGGATTTCCTACTTGGGCAATGCATGAAGATTGATCTCCAGGGAATGATTCTAACATATGGCGACAGGAAAGTGCCACTTAGGGTTGGTTACGACAACCAGTGCTGCAGCAGACGGTTGGTCTTAGAGGAAGTGCCGAAGATTCCACCAGAAACGGAAGTGGTTAGTTGGGCAGAGGTTGGCAATGATGGAAACGAATTGGTTTCGTCAGGAGAAGGAAGTGGTTCACCGATACAGGAAAAGCGTGACGGTTCCGCCAGCTCAGTGAAGAAGAGGTCGCAACAAGGAAGTGGTCATGGCGAGTCAGGCAGTGTTTCCGGCAGGAGGAAAGCCACTGAACCACGTTGCAATGGTGATACGTCGGTGGCCGGAAATGGAAGCACCTGTGGAAGCAGTAGGCGCGCTTTGAAGTGTCCCGAAAAAGGTGGTCGGAAGCCAAGGTTTAGATTATACATGTCCGGTCAATGAAATTAGCATCGGCGGAAGAGCGAGATACGAACGACGGCGGAAGTTCCAGCGTAAGGATCCGGATGTAACAAGATGTGCTAAAGGCAGTGTAGCACGAAGGCGGGAGTCTGGGTGTCATGGACAGATGATGCGGCATAGATCTGGCGAAAAGGGTGCCCACGAGAAGAGACATGGTATGGTCACCACCAGTGGCTGGCAGAAGCACGACCATGTGCGATGGTGCACTCCCGGAGATAAGCCGGAAGCAATGTCCAGTAACGCATTGTGGTTGTACATGTCGCAGCAGAAGAAAAGCTTCACCTCCAAGCAAAGATGTGCCTGGAAAGATCCGTTTAAGATTGACAAACGGCTGAAGGACGCAGTGCATCAAATCCAGACAATGGGGAGACCGAGGACCAAGATGAAAGTGGTCCACTTGGAAAGACTTGCAGCGTTTGGAGCGGCAAGTGTGTCTGATCGGGACGATCAGACTTAGGTGGAGGGCAGTGTGGCGAATACTGCGGCAACACAAAGGGAACAACGAGAAATAAGCAGCATGTTCGAGGAATGACGTAGAATATTCCACAATGAGAAAACGCAAGTGGATGAACGCTGCGAACAGCGAGAGAAAGAGAATGAGCGATTAACTTCAGAACATTCTAGAGTTGCCATGAGTGCGAGCGCAGGTATATAAGGGCGCCGCCAGACACCGGAGTGAGTTAGTTACAAGTCAGCAAGCTACAAGTAAAGTGAACAGTGAAGTGAGCTGCGAATAAGCAAGCTATAAGTTTAATTGCGTTAACAAGTTTAGTAAAGCGTTGTAATTGCTTTAACGAGTATTGTAAAGTTTTTTACTGTATTACCCCACGTCTCCACCTTCTACAGATTCTGTTAAAAAAGCTGTGGGAAGACAGAAATGTCAGGTGGAGACCGCGAATTTCTACTGTTAAACCATATCTGTCTGGCCGAATTTCTTACCATCGCTGTGTTGTTGTTGTTGTTGTAGCGGCTACAACAACCCCGCCCATATCGGCTGATATCTCAGTCGTTGTCGTCGAGTTCCACTAACGGCAGCCCCAAGAAGCGTGCAGCCTCTAAGGGGTCGGCCCATAGGGACGACGCCGTTAGGGTTGTAGGGTTTTCCGGCCATGCGAATCGATGTTTCGAGTCGTGAGGGGTCTCTCCGCATGGCGGACATTCGTTCGGCACATCCGCATTTAACCTACTCAAGTACTCGCTGTCTTACCATCAGCTGTCATTTTGTAATTTGACAACTCAGTTTTCATTTTACCGCGCCATCTACTTTGGGTACGGATCGATCTCATTGGCTTGAGCCATTTCGAAAGTGATATGTTAAGACAGCAAGTTGCCCACATGAGAAAACGGGACGAAGTTAAAACAGAAATTTGACAGATGTTAAGACACATTTAGTAGAAAATGGAGACGTGGGGTTAGCGAGTATTGTTAATTGTTGTTGTACAATAAAGTTAATTGTACTGCAATTTGGTCATCGTGAGCATTTATTTAGCAATCCAGCGTTACGAGCCGTGTGATATATGGGAAATCCCTCAAGGTTTCGAAAATATTCGTCACAATAGCATTATTTAATTTAAAAGTAGGGTTAACTGCAGGCACGTAAGACTGATATGTGAGCACTGTGTGTGGTCCTTAATTATTTGGTAAACAAAGTTACAGACAGATGGCATCACCGTCAAATTCATAACGAGTAAAATAATTATAACGATTTCATTTGTTCTCGCATTTTTGTCAAAGAAAGAAGAAATTTTGGCGTCGGAAAATAAAGTGTTTGTTAATAAGATTCAATCGCGGTAATTATTAATTTAATGAAAATCACTAAATTCGTCTTTGGTACGGCTTAAAACTGAAAATAAAACATCGTGTTGTGAGTTCTTGAATTTACACTTGTGTAAAGTTTGAATTTTTCATATTCGTCGTGCGGTGTGACAGACGGCGAGTTGCGGTTTGCGTACTTTTCCATGTTTGTTGCTGGGCTAAGTGTACGGAGAAGGGAGAAACAGCAGATACATTTGTTGAAGGACGTTTTGCATTTTTATTTATGCGGATTTTCGAGCGCTGGCGCTTAATATTTCCTGCACCAGTAAAACTCAAAGTGGTTGCAGCAGATACTTTCGGTTGGACATTGTAAAGATACATTTTGCAATAAGTTTGTCGTATTTTTTACAGGCAAGTGTGAAATGAATAGTTAGTGCATGCTTTAAAGCAAATGTGACTAAAAAAAAAACATAAATATTTATTTTCATCACATTTCTACATTTATTGCCCGCGCTTTTCTCATCCAGTGAAGTTTCACGGTGTGAAACATTTTCGTGCGTGAGAATAAAAAATCGTCAAACTGGATAACACCATGGGAAGTTCTGATGACCGCGTTTACGCGGCAGAACGTATAATACAAAAACGCATTAGAAAGGTAAGCAAATTATTTAATGTATGTATTAAAAATTTAATACAATTTCAATGTTATAATCGGTGACAAAGCATATAGAAATTGTTACATTGCTGACAGTGAAAAAACAAAATGCGATTGCTTGTCGTCCCATAACATCTGCTGTCGAAGGATCATGCACGCTCATTAAAATTTTACTTAATTCGCCTCTATTTTAATTCGTTCTGTTTTCATCCTTTATATTTTCCTTCTTATTACGTAGTAAACTATGAAGTAGTAGTCACGTACATACATATGTACACATGTATGTCCATACACACTACGTACGTATGTATTTATTTCTTATGTTTATAGTAGCATGCCTATCCCCCATACCTCTTATTTTCCAACAGTTATGGCAAGTGAATAAATAATTTCACGTACATACATACATAGCACCTTTAGGCATAAATGTATGCATATGTACATACATTTGTAAACTAACAAAACAAAATCCCTTAGGTTATTCAGCTCAAAGTCACGATCATTTCCCACGGAAACGGTCTGGATCATTCTTATTGGGGTTGGCAGCACTAATTTTATACTACTAGTATGAGGAGGACGAAATTGTAAAAATGAACTCACTGGGGAGAGGTACTTTTAAACAAAATAATATTCACATAAACAAATATACATATGTATATTATTTGTTCATTTTGTACCCTAAACTGTCGAAAAATCAAATCGCCATTTCAGAGACTAAATGCACGAAAAATTTGTAATTCGCTCCTCTGCTCTTGCCACGCCTCGCCTGTAACTTAAAAAAATATTAGGTGCCTGTGGGCCCTGTCACACGGTCAGTAATTATCACGATATTTGAATCGCGATCCATATTGATGGATTGATGGATCGAGCACGAATGCTCCATGCTCATTATTTATCGCGTCAGTATTTACATAATTTTTGTGCTGGACGCTTATTATGATGCAAGAAAATATTTCTATTTTGTATGAATAATTTGCAGATAATGCATTTCACAATTACGTTAATTTTCCTATATTAATTAAAATTTTTTCAATTTCGTTTTAAGCAACGAGAACGAAAGCATAGCGGCAGCCGGTTCTACGTACCGGAATGACTCGGGTTTTACCCGACCAAGGGGTGTTGTTTCGGCGATCTAACCCCGTTTAGGTCGGCGAAGTATCTCAGAAGTTGTTCGTCCATTGGGCTACATTCGCTACGTTTTCTTCTGCTCAGGGCTGGCATCGAGTCAAACCCAGGGCCAGAAACCTACACCTGCTGTGTATGCTGGAGACGACTACACCACAACTCCACCTCAGTTGTTGTTGTTGTAACATCATACAAATTCCCCAAAGGGATTTTGGGGAGTGTTGCTGGAGTGACAGTCCTTGGCCAGATATAAATCTGGGTCGTTCCGGTTTCGTAGACCCGACTGTCGTGGGAACGTCTGGGTCGTTCCGGTTACGTAGACCCGACTGTCGTGGGAACTGTCCACCTCAGTCAAGTGCAATGCTTGCGAGGGGTGGAGTCACCTCAGAGTCTGTTCAGGACTACGGTCACATCGGCAGTGGACCACGTCGTTTGTGATCCCCTGCTGCTCAAACAGAACAGCCTCCGCGGCTAACCCCAGTCCACCTGAGCAGTCCCACACAAACACCACAGCACAACAACATAACACAATAGACCACACCACAACCGCGACATACCACAGAACACCCACAACCGCACCACCACCCACACGCCGCCGCCAACCATTCCTGGTTCCTCCTACAATCTGCACGGTATATCAGACCAGGATATTCCGTAATGTGACATCAGTCAAGTGCAACACCTGCCTTGGCTGGTGCGACTTTAGGGCATGTTCAGCTCTGCGCACCACGCGAGATTGGACGAGGAACTTCGAGGGCCCGAGTTGCGCTGCTCGGTCGCAAACCCCAACTGCGACGCCACCCACTACCACCACAGGTCGGCAACCACCACAGCAGCGCACACAGCCAATGGCGACAAGGCCACACACATCCTTCACACCGCGCATAACTACACGTCTCCCGAACCACATGAAGCTCCTTCAATTTAACTGCAACGGGCTACAGAGCAAGATTGAGGAGATAACCGTCTTCATGTGTCGGCATGGTATATTAATAGCTGCGGTCCAAGAGACGAAGTTGCACAGCAATTCAACTTTGTTGAATTGCGCCGGGTACAACGTGCACCGTCGAGATCGCGAGCGAGATAATGGTGGTGGCTTAGCGTTCATCACGCACCACACCGTGCAGTATCGTCTTATCGAAGCAGACATCGACCGCAGGGATACCACCCTAGAATGTCAGGGCATNCAAAGCCAAGCGTCGAGTGACCAGAAGGCGGCACAAACTGCCAACAACTTCTACCCCCCTTGCTTTCACTTGCGGTGAAGTTCAGGTGGCCATCGGGAAGGCGAAAGCCTCCAAAGCCATGGGTCCCGACGGAATATGCATGCTGATGTTGAAAAATTTGGGTCCTGCGGGGTAGCCTTCCTAACGGAGGTCCTCAATTTGTCTATGGCCACTCTCATCATCCCAGACATCTGGAAGGTGGGAAGAGTGGTCCCAATGCTCAAAAAATCACCTATTGTCTTCTCATGCTTACTCAGCTGAAAATATGAAAAATCTAAAGAAAACCGTATCTTATATCAAAGCAGCACTTAAGAAAAAGTGAACTTCCAATTCAAGACACTTACGCTCTGGCCGTCCATCGAAATAATTTGGCGGTGTCCAATGCATATTCGTCGTATTTTGTAGAATCAATTTCGTAGCCACTAGATATGGTTAATAATATGGTAATAAAGGTAATTAATATATTTAAATAGTAAATTATTGGCTAATATATATATTTTATTAATATAACCTATCTGTAATACAAATAATTTCAATTTCACATTTGATAAACAATTTTGAGTAGATAGAGGCAATAAAATATTTTTTGCCGCATACAACTTGAAAATCTACCTATGTTCGTTGCTGGCAACATACAAGGCCATAGGCCGGCCGGATTTAAACTACGCAACACCAGTGTGGTCGCCAGGGACTAGTAGGACGCATAGGATGAAGCTACAGACAGCACAGAACACCGCACTCAGGACAGCGACCGGATGTCACCTGAACACCACCTCCATGAGGCGAAAATGCTCCCAATTAAGGAGCATAACATAATGCTCTGCAAGCAGTTTCTGGTTGGGAGCCACAGATGTGGCCACCCAAACAGACAGCTGCTCTCAGAGGAGCCCTCGCCTAGGCTCGTCAGGAGGCATCTATACGAACTGACGGACGAAGTCCAGAGGTTCATTAAGCAGCTTCTGGACCCGTCAGCATACCGACAGGCCCTGAACGGCCTTCACAGGGACTCAGTCTCGAGTTATGTAGACTCTAGGCCTGTGAATGCCGTTCTAGGCACACAAACACCGGACATTGACGCGACGCAGCTCCATCTGCCTCGGGAGACAAGAACAACAATAGCCCAACTTCGCTCTGGTTACTGCAGCAGGTTAAACTCATACCTGAGTAGACTAAATGCGGATGTGGCAAATGAGCCTCCGGCATGCGGACAGACCCCTTACGACTCGAAACATCTCTTTGCATGCCCGGAAAACCCGACAACCCTAACGGCGTTGTCCCTGTGGACCGACCCTGTAGAGGCTGCACGCTTCTTAAGGCTGCCGTTAGTGGAACTCGACGACAACGACTGAGATATCAACCGATCTGGGCGGGGTTGCTGTAGCCGCTACAACAACAACAACAAAGCATGGCGAATATGTTTTCGATGTTCACATTATGAGAATGCAAGATGTACTGACGAAATGTATGGATCGCGTTTTGAAAGTGCTACACGCTCAATATTTATAGACAATATTGCGATCCGCGATCCAGATTTAAATTTTTTTAGAAATTTTGCGATATGGATCACGATCCATCAATACTGCATGCTACACCGTCAATAAATATCGCGATACTTGGATCACGTCAATAAATACTGACCGTGTGACAGTGCCCTGTCACAAAATCAATACGGATCGCGATATTTGGATCGCGCTCCTGGATCTTGATATTTATTGAAGGTGTAGTATCAAATAGTTCTAGAAATTTTGAAATCCGGATCACGGATCGCGGATCGCGCAATCAATATTGAAGGTGTAGCATATTCAAAACGCGATACATACATTTCGTCAGTACATTTCGTACTCTCATAATGCGAACATCGCTCTCGGCGCGACCTTTCAAAACAAATTGAAAGCATGTAAATTAACCTTAGAAATTTTAAAAGAATTATGGAATGCATTATCTGTAAATTATTGGTACGGAATAGAAATATTTTCTTGCGCCATAATAAGCGTCCAGCACAAAAATTATGCAAATACTGACGCGATAGATTTATCTATCCTCCTATTGTATGTACCTATTTGTACCCTGAAAAAGTTTCTCATAACTACCGTCTTCGGAAGAAAAGCTGTTGGTGCCTTCACTTGTGGGACAACACCTTTTCCGCCGATAAATAATTTTTTTAATCTTTCGAGATTAACTTTTTTTTTAGACGATGCTGGTAAATTTTATATTTTGGTTTGTAGCGCCTGTCGGCAAGAGTTTTTCTCCGCTGACATTGGTTGTGTTTATGCCGGATCTCCGGTATGTTGTTGTTGTTGTAACAGCACACAAATTCCCCAAAGAGTTTTTGGGGAGTGTTGTTGAAGTGACAGTCCTTGGCCAGATATACATATGTAAGTCTGGGTCGTTCCGGTTACGTGGACCCGACTGTCATCAGGAGGCTCACCTGAAATAGGGCGTTCTTGAAAAATTTGCTGAGATAGGGCGTTTTCGAACCGGCTGCTCAGATATCGATCTTCCATTCAGCCATCGATATGTAATCAGTCACTAGACACGAATAAAGGCGCGAGCTCAAAAGTTGACCGCGAAAAAAGGCGCATAAAAAAATTTCAGCGAAGAACGACTTAACATAGTTGACGGCGAAGAAAGACGTGTTAAAATATTTGACGGCCAAAAGGGACGCGTAAACTTATTTTCGCGGTCAACTATGTTTGCGGGTGTAATAGTATGCACATTCCGTAAATAGTTTCTGGGGAATAATGCTGAAGTGTCAGTCCTTGGCCAAGTATTATTCTATGATTACACGTCTTTCTTCGCCGTCAACTAGGTTACGCGTCTTTCTTCGCCGAAGTTTTTCTTAAGCGCCTTTTCACGTAACATTTTTTGTATGCGTCTTTTTTCGCTGTCGAAACATTATTCGTGTCTAGTGACGATAAGGTCTGAAGTAGAAATAAAAACAAATTATGCATGGATCCTCTGCACAAAAATCACTGGTGGCCAGGGACGGTTCTAAACTTAAACTCCTACCTATCCAGAATCAATCGCGACACACCCTTATGTTTAATTTGTGAAGTTGCACCGTGCGATACGAACCACATCTTCAAATTCCTGACCACCCTCCCCATTTGGTCAATGTTTAACACTGGAAATACGGACAGGGTTCACTTACTTAATAAATTTTCAAACCAAAATATAAATTGTATGTTNTTAACACTGGAAATACGGACAGGGTTCACTTACTTAATAAATTTTCAAACCAAAATATAAATTGTATGTTATTTTTACCTTCCTCTTATTAGCTCGGGATGTAACTATGTAATATTGATGCGCCTAAAAGATGCAGCGATTTCTATTCTCAAATTACATACCTGATGACAGTACGAATGGCAATTCTAATAGGGAGGTTTTAGTTTTTAAACTATAATTTTTTAAATTTAAAAACAATTTTAAGTTTTATGTTACTAAAATTAATTTAAAGGTAGTTGGGTCAAATGACCGCTGTCCGTATTTCAAGGTATGTCCATTTTCCAGGCTATCCAGTGTTAATGGGACATTTCGATAACCGAAATTTTTTATTAAAAAAAAAATATATATTTTTAATGAATAAGTAATTTTTAATTTCAAATTATAAGTTATTTGTTACTAAAACTAATTGTGTATATGGATGTATGTATATAATGTTTTAAATATACATATGTACGTACACTCATATGTAAAGATATACTGTATTTATGTACATATGTGGTATTTTTTTCTTTTGCAGGGTGTTCTGGAGTATCGTGTAAAATGGAAGGGTTGGAATCAACGATATAATACGTGGGAGCCAGAAGTGAACATTCTCGATCGACGTCTTATAGAAATTTACGAACAGAGCAACCGATCATCAAATACTCCATCAAAACGAGGTAGTAAACGCAAAGAAAAAGCGCAGGACCCCGAACCTGAATCTGAGGAAGATGAGTACACTTTCACCGGTGACGATGTGGATACAAATCAAGCTTCCACCTCAGCCGCGGCATCTGCATTAACAAGCAGCAGTCATCACCATCATTCTTATCATTATGAAAAAGAGAAGGAAAAAGAAAAGAAACGGGATCACAATCATCACCATCATCATCACTCAGCGAAATCTGAACGGAATCGCTCTCGCTCACCACACACAGACTCGCATCGAGAAAATGGCGGACATAAGCGTCATACTTATACCTCCACATCGGCATCGATGTCTGCTGCAGTTGTGGCAGCCGCAGCTGCTTCTAATTCTGCATTGAATTTCATTCCTGAAGCTGATTCAAATTCATCCAGTTCGGAGGACCAGCCGCTTAGCCGAAAAGAAGTAACCCCTATGGGCACTAAACGCAAAGCAGAAGTGTTAAAGGAGTCGGGTAAAATAGGAGTCACTATAAAAACATCACCCGATGGTCCACCGCCGCCTAAACAACATTGTGCGAATGCTGTCAGTGTAGACACAGCCACCTCGATATCAACTCCGTTAAAATCGGAAACTGAACCGCTTTCCCCAGAGACACCTGCTTCGCGACCAGAACAAGCCACACCCGCAGAGAAAAACGCAGCATTGCAGCATCATTATAATGCTTCAGCAGCGGATGATGATGATTCATCATCACAAGCAGATAGCCAAACGGAGAATGTCAATTCGGCAGCGCAAAGCAAGGCAACGGGTGACGACGGTACCTATTCGCCAAAGCGCAACGGTCACACTACCGACGAGCATCAGCGTCAAAGTGCGCTGGAGCCACTTTCACCGAAAGCGCTGCCACCTCGCTTTTGGTTGCCTAGCAAATGTAATATATCCGACAAAGTGGTGATCACCGATGTTACAGTAAATTTAGAGACAGTGACTATTCGCGAATGCAAAACTGAACGTGGGTTCTTTAGAGAACGGGAATTAAAATCTGGTGGTACGAAAACTGAATCTGACTCGGTAGCCTAAAAAAAAAAATAAAAATAATAAGAATCTAGAATTTTAAAGGACTGCATCGGTGTTGCGTGTTGCCATCTACAATCAACGCAACTATTATGTATTAATTACATATAAAAATTTATGACTTGCTATTTTATTCACTGATTATCTCAAAGTTGGTTGAAAAAGTTCTTGTAAATAATGTACCATAGCTTCTATTAGAATAAATATACATACATATACGAGTAATACATGTGCTTATATTTATACTTACACCTCTACATATACATATAATTGGAAAATCTATAATTAAGGGAAAACCAAAAATATTGTGACAGTTTGTTTAAACAAATCTTCGGGTGTATATTTATGTAGATCTATGCATCTTTTGAAAGTGAATTATGAAAAAAGCAACTGTATGATCCCTGAAGCTCAAGCCAAATTCTTCTTTTTTATTTTCTTTAATCTTTTTTTAACCGACTTCTTAAAAGGAGAAGGTTACCAATTCGTCGGAATATTTACCCCTATTTTGAGTGTCGACTAGTAGTGAATAAACGACTATTATTCGTTTATCGCTTTTCCATGGTATTTTGAATGTCGATTTCCCGTTCAATAAGCGTCTGTGAACTTTTTTTGGTCGTTCATCCTTCTACAAGTATTTGTTTGTAGAGGGATTAGCGACACTCACTTATTGAAAGAGAAAACGACATTGATTAATAGTCGTTTATCTATTACTAGTCGACACTCGAAATAGAGGTGATTTTTATATTTATTTTTATTTTTTTTTATGTATGTTACCGCATAACTTTGTACCATATATGATTTCTAAATTTTTTTTTTTAAGGTAAGGTGTTACCTCTTAGGTGGTCCCATACTAATTGGGTTTAAATCGGATCATTGGATCGTGAAGAAATTAACGGTCATCTTAAATTTTTATATAGAATTGAAATCGGTTTTGTTTTTTGCTTAAAAATTACTTGCTTAGAACATTTTCCGTTTTTAAGAAAGTTAATTGAAAATAATGGAAATAATAGAAAGATAATAAAAACATATACACATATGTCTAAAAATAAGCTTAAGTTAAGTAGTGGATAAGAGTGTTGGCTGTACAGGCAGATTCCATAGTCGCTTTAAAATGTATGCATTTGTGCCCGTATAATGAGAGCCAGTAGAGTGCGAAACAGAAATGCAAATAGCTCTGCATTAAGTCCGAGAAGAAAAGATTCAAATACTTAAAAAAAAACATCACTGAGCTATTAACTTAATTCACCAACAATAGTTCAAAATTGGTCTTTATGAAACTAGGAAATTAAGATATACATACATGTATTTTGTAAATTACGCACTCATGCAATATGCAGTTGCGTGGATCTAATTAACAACGGCGAACCCCTGAGAAGTATAAGAACCTGTGGATGTAATACTACGAAATAGAAGGAAATTTTTGCCGTAAAACAGAAATTCTGTCTATAATTCATAAAGCTGTCTACAATTCATACTTAAACCCGTTTTGCCCGTTAATTATATTTCATGATCTTTCTTTCATCATTAGGCGACAAAGTTAGTGTAAATTCCAGCGACTGTAACGGTTACGCTTTTTTTCAAAAAAGTCAACAAATAATCGTTATTTTCTCACCGATATGTTTGCAGTCAAAAATAAGAGTTATAAATTGACTTTTATTTTTTTTGGTCAAAAATAAAAATTAACACTTGACTTTTATTTTTTCTGTAAAATATCGTGCCATCGATAGTCGATAGCACAACCATCGATAGTATCGATCGAAGCTTAAATTAAAGAAACTCAATATATTTACAGAAGATAGAAAACTGCAATTGAGAGGATGTACATTTTGTATTAAAACATATTGTATTGTGAATATGTAAACTGCTATTTTCACAGAAAAAAATAAAAGTAAAATTTTAACTTTTATATTTGACCGTAAAAATAAGAGAAATTTTTAATTTTTATTTTTGACCGAAAAAATAAAAGTAAAATTTTAACTCTTATATTTGACCAAGAAAAGGAAGGTAAAGTTTTAACTTTTACTTTTGACTGAAAAAATATCGGTAAAAAAATAACGGTTAATTGCTGACTGTTTTGAAAAAAGTAAAAAAGAAATAAATCATATTGGCTAACAAGCATCACATTACTATGTACAAATGTTAAAAAGGCCGACTTTCCGACTGAAATTTTTGAAAATAACTTATTTTCGGTCCCTGGTAAATTCTAATCGCGATTTTTGGAATGAATATTTTACTTTTCTTGGGCCTACCGTTAGTTGAGCTAGATGAAGATGATTGATGGATAAACCGAAATAGGCGGGGCTTAGTAGTGCCGCTGCAACAACAACTAGTCTCAGAAATCTGCCTATGTATTTGTGTTTGACTCAGTTTCGTTGTTAATTAGTTCCACACAACTGTTGCAGCCAGCTTTGTGTAAATATCTTATGGTGATTTCGTTTCTTCCAAAAAATGTTGCCCTTGCGCGTTGCAAAATGTGTTTGATGTTACACTGAACCCTGTAAAAGGGCATGTTTTTGCCTCTTGTCCTTGTCCAGCTCAGGCATTTCATAATATCACCGTTTTCGGCAACTATCTGATTTTTAGGGACAATCATCTCCCCTGACCAGTGATCGGACTTTAAAAAAATTCTGTGGTAGAATCTGGAAAAAAATGTGGTATATTTAAAAAAAAATGTGTTAGATCTCTGGGTTTGGATCAAACTTTTTACAAAAATTAAAAAAATTCTACAAGGTTTCACCAAAATGGCAAACTTTTTAATTATACTCTAAACAAAATTTAATTTTAGTATAATAAAGTGCAAGATTGAAGTTGCTAAAAATCGCGTTGAGTTTTGGCAATTTTTTTCTTTGACAGTGTAAAGCAGTTCCTTCCATATTAGTATATTTTTCGAACATATTTTAAGAGATTTCTGCAACCATGCGAAGTGCTGCCAGCTTTTCTTTTTATCACATCACGAAGTAGCGAACAAATGTGGCACATTCCAGAAACAGTTAATTGGGATTTGCCCATTTTGACAATTCTCAAGTAAAAGTAAACAACGCCTCAGAAACCTTAGATGCACTTAAATTTGCTAATACTTACACAAACATTTTCGCTATTAATTCTTTTTATAAATCATATATTTTGCAATTTAACACCGCGTTTTATTAACCGCGTTTCCTGTCGAAAAATAGGTTAGAGAAAACTTACTATTTTAGAGTTAATTTTATCCTCCCATTCGGCTTTGTTTACTTTTACATCGTCGCCGGGAATGCGGAATCTTGTATTATACCATTCTTGTTACCATATAGTATTTAGTGTTGGATAATTTTTGCTCTTAAAATTAAGAAAATTATGTCAAGCAAAAATAAAACTANGCGTTTTATTAACCGCGTTTCCTGTCGAAAAATAGGTTAGAGAAAACTTACTATTTTAGAGTTAATTTTATCCTCCCATTCGGCTTTGTTTACTTTTACATCGTCGCCGGGAATGCGGAATCTTGTATTATACCATTCTTGTTACCATATAGTATTTAGTGTTGGATAATTTTTGCTCTTAAAATTAAGAAAATTATGTCAAGCAAAAATAAAACTACTCAAAAGCGCGAATATGTGGTAGATTTCAGACCTTGAGTGGTAGATGCTCAAAAAGTGGCAGATCTACCACAATGTGGTAGAAGTCCGATGACTGCTCCTGACAAAGCTTCAAAGGGCAGAAAATGTCTTTTTTGCCTTACAAGAGTGGGACATTTTAAGAGTCGAACGCAAAATTTACCACCGTTTGCCTTTATTTTAGAATCGAACACGAAAACAGAAAGCGGCAATAAAAATGCGACATCTTTTGGTAGAAACGAAACACCATTAAGCATTGATTTGGAAAGATGAGAACAAAATGAAATTATGTCCACATATATGTTTTATATATATCCACATACATATATGTTTGATTTATGTATCTAACAGCACAACAAAGAGGAAACTTGAATGTAATTTATTACTGTTGCCGCTATTTTTCAACAATATAATCGTTGCTAAAGCAAAAAAATAAAAAAATGCGTGTGCAACTTGAATGCTTAAAAATAAGTAATTTGAATTGCGAATACGAATTGCAACTGGATTGCCAATCAATATGTAAGCATAGATTTTGTTTTAAACATTTGCATTTTGACCAGTATGCCGCCAAGCTTACAATTCAGAATTGGTTCTCCACAAGAGCGATAACAACAAAAATAAAAGCAAGCTCATAAAAAAAAAAAATAAAATCAATTTAGTGCTGATGTCCTTAAGCAATATTCCCTATAACATTTTTAGTACTTTGCCGTGTTTATGTCAGTAGCGGGAAAATACGTACGGACGCGTAATTTAACTAGTTTTGGCCGTTTTTCTTTTGTTTGTTTAATGTTAACTATTTTTATGAAAGGATAGTCCACTATCTAACAAAAACCATGCAAATGGCATAATTGCCACGCCATCTACTCTTGTGGGCGGAAATATTAAATTTCAACCGATTTCGATGAAATTTAGTTTGTGCTCTCTCTTTTATTAGAAAAACCTTAATATAAAATATGGGGAAGATTCGATCACTATAACGTCCAAAACTCACAAAAAATGTGTGCCAAGTCGTTAAATGTGAAGGAATTCTGGTTAATTTTTTTTCCTCTGAGAGAAAAAAGGTTATACTATAAAATGACTTAGGTTTAAATACTCGCGCTTTTTTCCCAATGTTTGGTGAGATTTTTTCATTGTTCGAAAAATTCTTTTCGCGAAATTATGCAAAAAGAAGCTGAAAATCAAAAATGCATATATTTGCAATGTCGCGCGCAAAGATCAAACTATATATTCTAGAACTACATAAAATTCTCTAAAACATTTGTCTAATTTCAAGACCTGACGGACCGGCACTCACACTTTTTTTACTAATAACACTATGCGACAGTCAAAATCGGGATGGGATGAAACCAACGGGAAATGTTATATCGGTCAAAAACAAGTTATACGCGGCCCGGCGTTTCGCTGGGTCACGTCTAGGAATCGAGATATATCGATTTGAAGTTAGTAACTATCATATAGGGGAAATATTTTTGTCAAAATGTCCTTCACCTTCACTTAATTGTGAATAAAAGCGAAACGCGTCCATCGATTTTCATGATCTATGTCTCATTTTGCTTAAAGGTTATGTGACTTTGCGTGAAAGTAATACGACTTGCCTTTTTTCCGTTATGGATTTTTTTATGAATTTAAAAAATAAAAAAATTAATATTTTAGGCAAAAAATATTTTTTTTCTTCATACATTTATTTTTACCGGCAAAACTGTTGATTATATAGAAAAACGTTATATGAACAGATTAAAGGAATTGTAATTTTTAATTTTTTTAAATTTGTTTGAGCAAAATCGGACTAGTGGTTCTCGAGTTATGTCAAAAAAGACCACCAAAGGTGACAAAATTTCCCCTATATGATAGTTACTAACTTCAAATCGATATATCTCGATTCCTAGACGTGACCCAGCGAAACGCCGGGACACGTATAACTTCTTTTTTACCGATATAACTTTCCCCGGTAGTTTGAACCCTTCCCGATCACTGACCCCTACCATTTGTCTCACAGTGTAATCTTTAGCATCTAAATTTCAAAGTAAATTTGTTGGTAAGAAAATAGGAAACTACCAAATAAAGGATAAATACTTTCACCTAAATATTCCACGATATTTAAATAATTGATCACAGTTGAAAAAGAAACATTTTCTTTAATGGGTTAGTCGCCAAAGGCAACTTAACTGATT